TTTTGTATCTACAAATGGAGTGATTTTAATAGGGAGAAATACTTTATAAATAGAGGGAAATACTTTATCAAAAATATGATATACCTGCACTTTAGCGCATGACTTTATCATATATATCAAGGATGCATTGTCATAGATTGATCCCATCATTCCAGCACTACCAAGCATGTGCGGCATACTTTATTTAAGTCCAAGTTGACTATATCATTCATTATTAATGAATAAATAAAATTTGGTAAAATTTTTACTTCGAAGAGCTCGGCTTTTATAGAGCAGTTAGCAATACAATATGAATTTTGATGAATATGTGGTTTCAAGATTTTTGTCGCTTTTTTTAGTTAGTTAGAGCTTGGTTTAGTTTTGGTTGGCTGAATACAGAGTTCAATATTGAAATGAACTTGTTATATTATATTAATTAGCTGTTTGATAATTGAAATCATATGCTTTGCCTTTATTGACTTATTGAAGTCTTTATGTTGTCTATATTATCTCTTTATTCTGACAGTCCTCGACAAATAATGAATAGTATTGCTGCTTAGTTTATACTGGATTAGTTCAAATATATGAACCTAATCGTTGGAAGACATAAATAACCTAAAGTAATACTAAAATGAATAGTTATTAAGCTGCTGCAACCTTGTTCTTCTATTTTTTATCATTTTATAGAAAGATTCTATTCATAAAACTTCTAATTTGACATTTTGACATCCATGAAATCAAACAACGTGTGCACCAACATATAAAAGAAATGCACTTTGACAGTTGAGTTGACATTTTCTTATGTTGGTACACTGGTTGGGTATTTTGATAGACGTCAAAATAGCATATTTTAGATTTATATTTTAAAAAACATATTCAGAAGTCATCAAATTATAATTTTCTCACAATAATTACGATACAATAGTACCATGACTATTAAGTATTATTTTTACTTCTTGACCTGAATATTTTTTTCTAACAATATTCTTTGTGCAGGTATTACATACATTCTGTGAATGTAAAAAGTACAAAATTGCGTAATGTTATTCCAAGATTATTTACTTAGTCAGCATAAAAATGTGTACAAGCAATTATCATATATAAATGGCTTAATATGTTTTAATTTAAACTAGATTTTACCGGTCACAAAGGTCATGAACTGACAATTGATAATTCAAGACTTCTGACTTTACAAGTTTTAGTCAGTTAAATATTTCGGATGTATAGATAAGATTTCGTAAATTCGAATAAAAAATAATTTGTTGGTCCAATAATTAAAAAAAGCGTTTGGTTTTGTTGCATAATATTGAAAAGAGAATGTTCCAGTTTTAGAATGCTTTGCAGATCATTGTACAAGGATTGAAAGTTGCTATTTAAATTTTATTATATTTAATTTATTACAATTAATGAATGGTACGTTTGATGGAAAATTATTTTGAATATACGAATTTAGCGCGAATAACAACATGAGATAATTTAATTGTCAAACTTTCCATTAGTGTGATGCATCTTTTTATTATACGATCTTATCTTATTATTAATTCTAATTGCGATAAGACTCGTCTCGTCAATTGTGTTATGTCATGTATTAAAAGTTGTTTTTGAATTAGATGTCGGCGAACTGTTTAGCGTCAACATTGTACAATTACAGTAAATATTGTTTAAAACCTAATCTACTATCGGCCGGAAAGTCCCATTTAATATTGACTCTCAATTTTTCTACTACAATGTACAGAAAAGGAAAATTTGACTTTCCTAAGAGATTTACAGGACAAGAAAAAAGTGTATGGTATGTTAATAAAGGTTAAGTTTAATTAAATGTGTAAATTAATTCTAATATCATTATGCAGGGTTGAGTATATAGAATTAGCTATCAAATATAAACCATTAAATTTGGGACAAGGTTTTCCTGATTATCCTTGTCCAGAACATGTTACAAAGGCTTTGGCAGATGTTGCAACTGGACCCGATTCATTATTGCATCAATATACAAGGGGTTTTGTAAGTTTAACTTATATTAAACTGATTTTCAATGGTGCTTCAATAAATTGGATTGTATTATGTATTTAGGGGCATCCAAGATTAGTAAATGCATTAGCCACTTTATATAGTAAAGTCCTAAATAGATCAATTGATCCAATGAAAGAAATACTTGTTACGTCAGGTGCTTATGAAGCTCTTTATTCAACAATACAAGGTGAGAAATAAATAAATGATCTTAAATTATCACTGTTTATTGACATAAATCATAACACGTTAAAAACTTACCAAATATGACACTGTCCATACCATTTTTCAACAATTGGACAAAATTAAATAATGTGTTATGCATAATGCAATGACACTATATTCATAAGGAATTTAATAGTATTTCACAATCATATATCAATTTATTGTGAATTTTCTATGCCTTCTATTTATGATTGAAATAATTATTTATGAAGTTTATTAAAATCTTCATATTACAACAGGGCATATCGATAGAGGAGATGAAGCTATAATTATAGAACCTTTCTTCGATTGCTATGAACCTATGGTTAAAGGAGCTGAGGGTGTTTGCAGATATATTGCTTTAAAACCAGTATGTAATCTCATTGTTTCCAACAATCATTTACAATTGATCTAACTTATTTGTTTTCAACATTAAAGTCTCCTGATAAATGCTCTGATGCTCAAAGTTCTGCTGATTGGGTTCTTGATAAAAAAGAATTGGAATCATTATTCAATGAGAAAACAAAGCTTATTATTTTAAATACCCCTCACAATCCAACGGGAAAGGTATTCACCTTGGAAGAACTGGAATTTATTGCTGAACTATGTAAAAAATGGAATGTTCTTTGTATATCGGATGAAGTTTATGAATGGATGGTGTTTAAGCCTCATAAGCATATTAGAATTGGTATGGGCTATAAACAATTACTTCGTAATGATTTTAGTGGTATATTTCATTGTCACTCAATTTTTATTAGCTACTCTTCCTGATATGTGGGATAGAACTATTACTATTGGATCTGCTGGAAAAACATTCTCTGCTACAGGTTGGAAGTTGGGATGGGCCTATGGGCCTTCTGATTTACTAGAAAATTTGCGTGTTGTTCATCAGAATTGTGTATATACTTGCTCTACACCATTACAGGTTTGAAAATTATTAATAATCAATGTTTTTTTGAGTGCAAACTTACACATTTTTGTAGGAAGCATTAGCACGCGGTTTTGAAACAGAATTAGCTCGATTTGATTCTGATGAGTGTTTCTTCAAATCGTTAGCTGTTGAGTTAGAAGGGAAACGAGATTTTGTATGTAAATTTTTAGAGGATGCCGGTATGAAACCTGTAAAGCCGGATGGAGGCTATTTTATTGTAGCTGATTGGTCAGCATTGGGAAGTAAAATAAATTTAGATTCCGAGACAGATCCACAACGTGATTACAGGTTTACAAAATGGATGACTAAAAATGTAGGGCTTCAAGGCATACCGCCAACAGCATTTTATTCTAAAGAGCATAAACATCTAGGAGAAGATTATGTTAGATATTGTTTTATAAAGAAAGATGAAAATCTGAAAAAAGCAGCTGAAATTTTACAGAATTGGACAAAAACGCTTAAATAAGAATATAAATGATTAAATGCTATGGTGAACATTATATATTTATACAATTTTTGCTATATCCTGGACAAAGGTTGTTGATCACAATTATATTATAAATCTTGTTTTATATATTATTGTAAATATTTAATAAATTAATATATTTATATAAAAAATTGTGTTATTATATAAATTATGTATTATTTCTACAATTGAGCCAAAATTGCTCATAATTTCTTTTCAATTGAAGTTAGTTATGAAAATTTAAAAGATGAATTGAGTGCAAATGGACACATGTGTTATTTTAAGAATCGTGGATAAACTGACTGAAATTTATTCAATTGTTGATTGCTTTACTGCATAGATTAGAACAATATTTTGGATTTTGGATATTTTGAAACTAGTAGGTTTTTGAAGGATGTTTTACAAAAATCAATACAATCACACTGGTTAATAGTATAAAACTAACTAGGTGAATTTTGCCTTGAGGAAACTTTTTGTTTTGCAAGTTGCTGGAACATCCCAAAAAGTTTAAATAACAATACTTCATAGTTCATTTGGCTGTTGAACTGCATGAAAACGCGCCTGGAACATACGTCCAAAATGCTTATTATTTTAAACTTCGATAATTTTGCTGACTAAGCCACTATTCGGAGACCTGTAACAATTTGATATGTTTTTTTACACCATAATTTATACAAAGTTTTATAAAAAAATCAGTGATTGCGAAAAAGCGGTCTGGCCGATATTTACCAAAAACTCTTACTGGATTTCTTTGGGGCAACTTTTGGAACAGGTTTCAAAATTTTGAAATCGGTACAGGATTTTTTACGAAAACGCTGACCAAAAATTTTACAATATTTTTTGCTAATTTTAAAGGTACTGCTCGGCTAATAATTGTGCAAAACTAAACAAAGCAAGTATTTATTGAATTGCTTTATCAAACGAATTTGAAATGTTTCTAATGGATGTAGCTGTTTTTGATCGAGGATGCTTTTGGCAGACAAAAATTGGCTCATGCACACATATATTTTGGTATCAAACGATTCAGGATGAAAACAACGAGGCAGCATCGAATTTTCGGACAAAAAAGGCTTCAAGAAGTCAAAAATCTAATGATTTTTTCAAGAACTCACATTTAAATAAATATCTATTCTAGTCAAATTAGTGCATATATATATATATATATATATATATATATATATATATATATATATATATTATATATATAGCGGGTTGTCAACACGCATCACATGTTACTGGACAGATTGGCCCATATAGTGACAGCACTGAGAAAAACAAAAGGAAATTCTAGTGTCAGATCGTACTTGGTTTTTGTTTCTCCCTAGTCGAATTTGCTAAAATGTATAATTCTTAAAACCTTTCTTTTCAATTATAAATAAGAAAATACCAATAACGTTTTATTAATGATCAGTATGACAACACATAGTGTCGTGGATATTAATCATATATAAAATAAACGAAATATAATAATATTTTATGAAATTTATTATTGTCTATCATTTTGGTATTTAATATGGACCACACCTCCATATATATATATATATATATATATATATTTATTTATTTATTTAATATATACGGTTAAAACAAAAGTGATTTTAAGAAAACGGGCCACAATTTCAATGATATCATGGCTAAGAGCATTTGGCTCATGTCCTTACAATATAAATCTATCTTATATTTCGATATGCACTACTAATAGGAAAATTATATTTAATTTTTAATTGAAATCCATTTTAAATTTTTTAACTTCAGTTTTTCATTTCAGGCTATGTTGCCAAAGAAGAAAAATCTACAACTTTTAACTATCGAACTATTTTTTGTTCAATATAATGAAGGACTAGTATTTAAATGGCCTAAATGCTGATGAATTGCCTAACTCAGGTATAAAATATATTTATTTTTTTAAGTTTTATTATATATTATACACCTAGAATTTTATTGTTTAAATTTCAGAAGAAACAGGTGATCTTTATATTAGTGTTATATAGTGTTGCTTAAAATAATGACCAGGAAACATGTGGTGTACGAAGGACAATTACTGGAAGTGATTTTTATTAAGGTAAGCATTCATAATATTTTATAAATTGATTACTTTTGAGAAGAAAAATGAGATTTTAATAATCAGATTTAAATTTATGAGATAAATTACGAATAAAATAAACACTAGAGTTTCAACATTTAATTCTTAAGAACTTAATTGCTTAATGAACATTAAAAACTTATAATTTATTAAAATGTCTATAAGTAGTCTTGATATTTATTGTATTGTTATGTCTGTGTTATAAAATTTTAATTAATTTTCATCATTTTTCAAATGTGTATTTATAGCATATAAAGCATTCTAATTTTGAAACAGATTAATAATAATAGAATAAATAACATTTACTGCTTAATAATTTATGGTTATATATTTCTTATCTTCTTCTTAACATATGTACATATTTTTGCACATACATGCATTTCGAGCATCAAATTGCTCGAAGTCCATTTACTAGAAATTCTCTTCAACTTTTTTTCTTTTGTATTGCAAACTAATCTATATTTTATATATTATAAAATTATTATATATGAATTGATAGTTCATTGTAAAATTTCAAATAGTTCCAACTTCTATTTGAATAAAATGATAGTAATTTTATTCGATTAGATTAATTAATTTTTGCGTTCTCAAATTAAATTATTTAAAGTTCAGTTTCATTTGATACAATCTTGCTCATTGCAAACTTAAAAACTATATTTGATATTAGTAAACTATAACATTTATGTTGATATTCAGTTATAATATATACTATATTTATAGTAAAAACGGTCTGGCTTTGGTTCAATTTTAAATAACCCTACTTTCTAATGGAATAAAATAGTAATGAGTAGCTACTTATTTAGTTTCAAAGAAAACAAAGATCCAAAAGGAAAATTATCAGTATATTATAAGAATTTAAGAAAACTTGTGATAAATATAATAAGCCAAAATAACTACTTTCCTTATGCAACTTTTTGGAAATTTTTAGTCATTGGTGATGATGGTTATTAAATAACACAATTTAAAAAATGCTCGACCCTATGTATGTAGCAAGAGAAAAACACATATGCTATATTTTCAATTAATTTTTTAAAATTACTTTATTATTTCAATATTTATACAATCTTAGGCATTCGATTGAATCCTTGTCAGACTTCATCTAAGAATCTCTAAATCCGTAATAATATCCAAGTCATTTTAGTTGACTCAACAAATTTGACAAAATCCATCAAAATTCAAAAAAAAAAATACATATGTGGATAATTTTATTCATTGCTCGTTAAGTTAACTAACTATGATATTTATTTTACAACTAATATTTTTCTATCGAATACCTATGGGTCTTATCCTGAGGATCTTTACAAATGTAATAATTTCCAAGTCATTTTAGTTACCGGATAACCCATCCAAAATCTAGGGATGTGTATTATTCAGTGATCATTAGGTATCTGTTCAACTATGTTATTTTGAAATTAGGAAATATGTATAAAAAAAACATATGATAAGCTTTAAATAAAACCATTTGATAAAATAACACTTTACTTCATTAAATAATCTCCATCTGCTCAAATTAACCTTTTTATTTCTTTTCAAATATCTTTTATTATTTTATCTTATTCTATGTAACTAAATAATATTGTTACATACTGTATAATGTAATTTTGTGTTATTAAGTGCGTCATATATTATACAATATATTGTAATTTGCTGGCTATGTATTCAAAAATAAATAAATAAAAATGCAATTTATGCAGTCAAGTTAGAACGGAAAATTTTATGGCGCTGCTTGATATATCATGCAATTTAAGAAAATGTAAGTAAAAGGAAGCACTGGGTCACAAAAATCGCATCCATTGGTTACACATGTGACCTTATTTATCGTTCTTGATTCTAGTTCAAGAAAGGGGTCAATCCGCAGTTCACTTCTGAATGGCCTTTTAATTGTCCCCATGCGCTGGACACGATCATAAATATTATAACAGGGTCTACTGGAGGGAAAATTCGGAAATGTAGAGTTCTTCTTATGTCCGGCCGTCAACCGATTTAAAGTGTGCGTTGAACAAGTTTTATAGCTTGTACCGACAACACATTCAACTTGTTTATGTATTTTGCACTCTCGTAACTTCCTTCGGATTGTGTTGGATGTAGGGACATTCTTTGATCCTGAATAAATTAATCGGCGGCCGATTTTTTCGGGGTTGTACCTGAGCTGTGTCATAGGTTGTAGGTCACGGGACACGGGTTTGACCCATCCCCTTTCGAGGAATGGACACGCATGTCTTTAGATTGGCTCAAATTTAACGAAAACTGGTAGGAAAATATGATGGATATATTTATTTCAAATGTCCATTTAAAATATTTATGCGTATGATATGGAAGACTTGGCGGACAAATAGTCAGTACAATTACTTTCAATAGCTTTAATTTGGTTCGTTTTGTGAATAACAATGCGGCTTGGTTGTTTTGTAGTTTTTAAATCCTACGCAAGTTTTTATAGAATTTATTTTATTTTTATATGCCTGAATAAAATGTTAGATGAAATATTTAGAATAACTACAGGGTGTCCTCAACGTGTAGCCAAAACGGGGGTCTATTTTTAAAATATAGGTTTTAAATTTTTTAAATCGGTCCAGTCGTTTTTGATAAAACGTCGAAGAAAGACGAACAATCGGCTCACATACACACACATACTTTTACTGAATTTGGTCTTCGACTCAGAATGACTTGAAACCTCGAGAAAACATAAAATGAACAAATTGATTTTTTTTCACGGAAACAATCGTCTCTTTGGGAAAGTTGAAAAAATATCTCACGTTGTTTAGAAATTATGGGCTTTTAGGTGCTACCTAGAGCTCTTGTGAAATTATGACTATTTTTGGTTGTTATGATTAATTTCTATTAATTATGTTCATTTAAACTTTAGAATCGTAACTGTGTATAACATTCGCAGGTTTACAGTTTAAAATAATTACACAATTGCCCAACTTTTTCTAGAAATAAGACACTTTATTGAACAATGAAATTAAATTTTTTAAATA